GTACTTATGTGCACACCCTTTAGATGGGTGTGTTGCCCTCCCCCCCCCCAAAAAAAAAGCTATGCTTTCATGCAGTTAAGAAAGTTAGAAATAGTAGTGACTAGAATCTGAACGTAACTTAAACATTCATCCTTAGAAATCTATTTTGTACGTCACACTCTTATCTCTGAGAAGTGACAGAAGCCTCTGTATCTTTGAACGTTTTGGGAAATAATTGCAATGTCGGGAGTTAAGGTGCACTCGTAAGGCAGTGAACCAAAAATAAATGGCATTGAGGTCCTTTTGTTGTTTTAGGTAAGCACCCTGATGTTTGAATGCTTGTGAATTTTCATTCTGCAATCGCCCGTGTGAGTCCAGCTCCCTGTGCCTCTTCCTTGCGACCCACCTACTGTCCCTTCCCTTCTGCTGCAGCGCTAGGCTGACTTTGCCTGCAGTTCTGACTCGATCTTTTTCCTGATGGGTTGTACGATCTTTTTCCTGATGGGTTGTACGACAGATCCTCAGTCAGAGCCTTGAGAGTACAGAAAGAAAAGAAAGAATAGCCTTGTGGTCAGGGTACTAGCCTGTAACTTGGATTTTTATGTGCTTTGTCAGGCTGGTTTTGTTGTAGCGCACAGAAGTCCCTTAGGGGATGGTTGACAAAAGGTATTTTGTCTCTTAATTACCTTTTGAAATCAATGGGAGATTGTATGTCTAAATATCTGCATGAGTTTTATCCTCTGTATGTTTGTTCACTGTCTACAAAGTAGAGAACAAGACTTTCTTATCTCATAGGACTGTGGGGGAGCAAAAGGAGGGGTAGCTATTCTGCAGAAAGATCTCTAACCAGGGTCTAAAAGGGAGGCTCTCTGTATTTACCCTCACTTTCCTCTGAACCTTCTTCCCTGATAACATCTCCTCAAATAGATAACCTTCTCTTCCTAATATGCATACATAGGTTTATGTATGCACACATTTTCTTCAATTTTTTTTACTTCATACAGTATTTTTAATATATAAAAATATTTTATTCTTAAGTGAAATACTTTCTGTGTTTTGTGTAACCCACTGCTTTTACATTCAATCAATTCATTTTTGTTAGGACTGGGCCATAAGCATATCTGCAGGCAGCAGAAAGATGTTGGTGTTTTGCCCAGAGGTAGTGGTTGCTGTGCTAAGGTCTTTCCTCACCATCCATGCAGCTTATGTCCTGACTATTTATGATTAATAAAATGCTGGTCCCTTGGCTGCTTCTCACCACATGTGTTACATCTGGATGGATGGATCTGAACTGCAACCATTGCTAGGTAGAAAGCAGCTTGCTAACACACAATTTAAGGGAAGAAACAAACAATTTACGTATGGTTGAAAGGGCACAGATAATAAGGTAAATAAGTTCTGAATAAAATGGTTCCTAAGCGTTCTTTTCCTGCCTCACAGGCATTTGTAAAGTGCTTTGAGGTCATTTAAATAGAGATCACAATATCCGTGCACAATTCTCAAATTTTCCTCCGAATAGAGAAGAAACTTTAACATGAATTGTTTCTGTGTAGGGCGTCATGCTTCTTAGGCTCACAGAGTGCTTCACTCCCTAGTAGTCACTCTGATTTGTCTTTAAGATTAGTGGTTTTTTTCAGTTAAAACAATGTAAAATATTGCCCCATTAGAAAGCATTATTGTGTGTTTATAAGTACACTTGAATGTATTTATCCACTGGGAACATGCAGATGTCTGTTGGAATTTAATTTCTCTGCAGCACATTGAGGGTGGGGACAGAAGAGAAGCAGCCAGAAAATTATGGTTGCTGCAGTAAATGCTGGGCTTCTCCCAGTGACCTGTGCTGACTGCAGAGCTTATTACATCTAATGTAAGCATAAAACATCTGTTCAGCAATGCTGTTCTCTGGCTAGTCTGTATTTGTACCAGCAAATTATGGTACTTGGCTGACGGTTGCCTGTTGTTGGGAGTCACGAAGAAAAGGCAGTGTCACATTTACATTAAAGCTTATTGTAAAAAAGATGTTATGAAATATCTGCAAGGCAGCACCGCTCATTAAGCAGTGGCAACCTTGCTTCACCTCTCTGGTGTGGTCCCTTCTGAGCTCCAGAGTCATAGGTGTGCAGGCTGGTAGGAATCCTGTGGGTAGATGGCGTACCCTGCAGCAAGCAGTATGGATTGTGAATAAGGCTGTTGTTTCAGAAAGCTAACTTTAGAGTCCCCTAAGGGCATTTTTTATTTGGGGTTTTGTACAAAGTCAGTCTGTATTGTCAGGTAGTGATACCCTGCGATGAGGCAGTGGTGAACCTTGTGCTCTCGATCTAGCAGATTCCTATTTGGAGCACAGTACTGCTGCTGGTAAATGGCATGTGCTGTCCTTGCTCTGGGCCATGGAAGGTGAATCCAGGGCACTGCCTTCAGCAGCTTGCGATTTTGTTTGATTTCACTCATTTTCCACTGAGGTGGCTCTTACCCAACCGAAAGGGTGCAGCAGCACGAGTCGTTTGTGCTTTGCAGGAGCTTTTACCCCATGAGGCTACAGAGCTGCAGTGAGCACATCTGCACAGCATGTTGGCCGTGGGTGGCTCTCATGGGGGCAACTCCCCAGAACCGGCAAGTCTGTGTAGTACAGTGATTCTGGTCTGGTTGTACCCAGTGCCGTTTGATTGACTCCCTTTTACAACATGATAAGATGGGCAGCGGGTGGCTCTGAATGGTGGGCAGAGTAACAGCTACATGAACAGAGTACAAAGCTGTTTGGGGTCACCAGTGTTCTTTTATCTGGTTTGCTCGCTCTGTTGCTGCTGCTATTAGATACAGGAAGAAAATGCTTCTTCATCAAGGAATGTTTTACATTCTAAACAACACCTTGTTTGGGTGGGGTGATTTTTTTTGGCTTTTTTATTATTTTTTTTTTAATGTAGTGTTTCTGAAAGGGATCCTGGCAGTAAGTATGAGCCACCAGCCTGAGCAGTTCTTTGGTACCTATGCTTTTGAGTCTGTGCCTGTGTTAGCTTATTTCCTAGGGAATTAGCTGAGATAGGATTATTCACACCTCAGATAAAATTCATTTATTTTATTAGTAGCAGTTCAGTATCTCCAATTTTCAGCACTTGGTGAAGAAGCAGAATTTGCTTTTTTGCTCGAAAACCTTCGTGTATGTTTCCATGTGTGGATCTCGTTTCCATGGCATCAACCTTCAAGCTCGAGAAGCATTGGTTGGTGAAGCATTAGCCAGTGAATAGGCATTAGGAACCAGGCCTGCTCCAGTGTAGAGCTTTCACTTGTGGGGAGGATAATGATATGGGATATGGCAAAGATTTATGTATTTTAGCAGTCAGGGCTTAAGGCTTTGCCTGTGCAATACTGTGGAATAGAAGACTTGATGCAGTCCTGCTAGTGCTCTTGCAAAGGCATTGCTTTTCCTGATGCTTTGTCTCGATTTTTCTGAAGATGAGGCCATCCTGGAGTGTGCTGTGACTTGAATTATTTTTCTAGCCCTGTTGTCCCAAATGCTTTAATGTCTTGGCTAAGCGCCTCTATCCTAAAGAGTCTGGTTTGTCTCCCTTGCCATTGTTGTGTTAGGATGGCATCAACCAAATGTTTTCATGTCACAGTTGTGGTGCGGGTACATTGCGAGTAGCAGTGATTGCAGTGTTTATTTGTAACACAATTGCTCAAGTTTGTGTGTGTGTCAGTCTTGGCTATCTCTTTTCCAGTAAATGCTCAAGCACAGTGAGCTGAGTACAAGGACTGTTTTGATGGTTTTCTGTTATGCGGACATTGAGGTGATTGTACAGCAGTTTCTCTGGCTGTAGAAACTATGAAGTTATGCATGCACAAAAGGATATAAAATTTTGATGGTATGGACTTCTATTTTTTTAATGTAATTGAGGATATACTTCTGTTTCATATTTTATTATTGCCAATATACTTTTAAGAAGTAAAAGAATGTGCTTATTAATTTTCTCCGGCTCAGTAGTATGTTTAATGGGCAAGTAGGTGCACAACAGTGAACTGGATACAGCATTTTGAGGGGATTGCTTGTGTTTTAATTTAAAACTTGAGAGCACTCAGCAGAGTAACCTTGTGTGAGATGATGTCTGTATTACATCAGATAATTGTCCCAGAAGTGACATTGCAAAAGAATTCAGTGGGAGAGACAAGCCCTTGCAGTAGGGCAGCGGGCTGCTCTTGGCGCTTGTGTTAACATCATTTGTGAAGGACTTATGAAAGCTTTGTGAGTGATACTATGTGATATATGCTAAAACAACTTAAACATTTGACATGTTCCTAGCAGCTGCAAAGAAGAAAGAAAAAGACACTGACTATGAGTTTAGTTTGAAAAGGATTGCATAACCGATTTCCATCACTAATGAGCTTGGGAGAGAATGTTTGCAATGTTTTATTTTTTTCTGCACCTTTTAAAAATTAAACCTGCCTGCTGCTAACAGAAGAGTTGAGTTCTATGGTATTTTTAATCTGTTCTAGACAAATGACCATAGGGATCATACTACTTCAGGTTTATCACACTGAGCCTGTATACTTTGTGCAGTTCTTCAGGGATCATCTGAGAAAGACAGTATAGATAAGAGAAATGGAGATCTTCATCGCCGTTTTGATTGCCAGCTGTCTCTATATGGCTCTGATCTTGCAAAGGCTCGATTTACATTTGCTCTATGCCCATGAATAGTCTTGTTGGATCCAGTGGATGTTGTCCAGGGTGTGATGTTTTTGCAGAATTGTGGCCAGTCTTGCTCCTAAAGATTGGAATGTCAGTGGTGATTGCAAAAGAAAATGCCTGTTTATTAACAAAACAGACAAACATGCCCCCCAGCCACTAAGCCCCTAAGTGAGACTACAAATGAAATTTCATTTGAAAGTGAGAGTACTTCAACCCTGATTTTGCATCCGACAAACTGTAGTTGTTTGTTTCAGGTTAATTTTTAATTTCCTGTCATAATTGTGGTTGTCTTCCTGCTGGTAAGCAGGTTCTCTTTTATTCATTCATACTTCTTTTTCAGATTGCATGTGGCTCAGAGCATAATCTGGCAGTAGTTGGTAAGTAGCTTAATTTTATATCAAACCCTCTCACCCTTTTTTCATTTTTAAGTAGCACAAGATGAAAGAAAAACATGCACATCAAACATACTGAGTGATTAAGGGCATTGTGTGCAGCGGAAAGGAGGCAAGTAACATATAGATGTGGGGGAAAGGAGAGAAACCGGTAGCATAAGTAAGTGGTGATGATGAAAAGGTGCCCTTGTTGACCAACCCCTGAAAGGAGAGAGGGGTTGATGGATGTAGCAGTAAAATACATCTGCAAAGTGCTACAGCCTGTTTTAGAATAGAGCCATTGCAACAATTCAAGCTGCAGATTCGGAGTAGCATCTAAGCCTGAAGCTGGTCAAAAGTATCTTTGTTTAACATGGAAATTTTCCATGAAAAAAAATCCTGGGTCTTTTGTTGTTCAAAGCTTGGAAAAACTTCAAAATGTCAGTCAATGCTAGTTGGGTCCTTTAGTGCATCTTAGTATAATGCAGCTGTTGTAATAATGATGAAAGTACTAGGAAGCTAATGTTGGTGGAAAAATGGAATTTTGAGTACTAATTTCAGGAACAATCAGCTTCTTTCTTTTATGTCATGAATTGATAACTGAAGTTTGATACATGATTGCTTTTATTTATAATTAAATGTTTAAGAACATTTTTAACTGTAGATTTTCAGGTGCTTTATAAAGGAGGTCAGCATAATTATCCCCGTTAATAGACAGGGTGAGAGAGATGAATAAAAAAATTCTGTGCTAATCAGAGCTGGAAATGAAACAGTCTTCTAAGTTTCAGTCCAGCACTCCATGCACAGAGACATTTTTGATTGCCACGATCGATGCATTGAGATGTTAAGTGAAGAATTTCCTTGATTTTCTTAGTGTGGTAGACAGGTGTGGAGAAACCAGCTATTTGGTATCCAACCTGCATTCCATGTCCTAATTTTGAAGGTATTAATTTTAGCTTGGTGTCTTGTCAGTTTCATTAAGTGACCACAGAGGTGGTGTTCTGTATATGTAGTATATTTCCATATATACTGCAGTATATTTTCTAATTATCCTTCTACAATTAAACCTTGTAGCGAACTTGTTAAGTTCTACTTAGTTTATGGCTGCCTTTAAGAAAAGATTGTCCCTTTACCTTCTCCCTGCTCGTTCAGTGTCACACGCCTATACTAATTATCAGGCTGGTGCTTCTGAATGTCGACTGAAGAGCAATCAGAAGAATCACATTGTGTTTCTTGCTGAATTGATGAAGTAAAAGTGTGCTGCTAGCAGATTCCTCCAATGTGCATGAAAGCAAAGCATTGAGTTTGAACAACCTTCTCTCTCCTTATGTCCTTTTAAGCTTTCTGCCTTCGAGGCAGAAATCTCTGGGAAAAATGGGTAGGGGAAAGAAATTCTAGAAGGAAGTTACAACAAAAAAAGAACTTTGCATTCGTAAAGAACATCATATGCCTGTCTAAGCTGTGTACTACACTCATTGGATTTAATGGGAAAAGTATCAGTGCTGGAAGCTAGAAGATTTTTTTTTTTTTTTAAGGACAGCAGAAATGTGATGTTACTATTTTATTTTTTTTTTAAACTAAACAACTATGATACATTTTATTCCTGAAATTAGTTTTTACATGTGCTTTTAAAAGGCTGGCTTTTTAGAACATTTTGTGATAGGATTTCTCTGATCACTTGTCACTCTTAGTTCAAAGCTGTCAACTGTTATACTCCTTAAACTCACACAGATTTCTGTAAATATGTCTACTTGATTGTGCAATTTTCTAATAACTTATCATTCAAGCAAAGTTTATTTAGAACAACTATATCAATGGTTTCTTAATTAGTAAATGCTTGAATGATTGACTTTTAGACTGAAATAACTCAAGTTCGATATGAAAGGTAAACAGAAAAGCAAGCCTTTAACAGTATAAGATTCAAGTCACTATTTCTGGTTGTATATACAAATGCGTTTGTGCTTTTTTTGTTGCATTATCTTTTAAATAGAAACATTTTTTAAGACAGAGAGGCTAGATTTATGATTCATTTCACAAATGCTGAAGTTGTGTTCCAGTCATCTTGCTGATGATACAAACTGATTTGCAGGGCTAGCAAGCAGTTAGTTTTTTCGTGTTACTTTATATAGTCTGCATCCATTTATATGGTTCAGTTATTTGAATTCTCTTTTCTTGCTTTCTTCTACTGAAGTCAGTGCAAAATTTGGTTGTTCACTGTGATGGCACTGACTCCTTTTTTTTTATGGGCAACTTGGAAGAAATTAAGTTTTCATTTGATCATGAGGTAAATGTTTGATATAAAGGAAAAGGAGGTGCGGGATGTCTCCACGTACACCTATATCTCTAAACTTAATGAGTTAAAAGTAATAATCAGTACATGAAAAAGTGTAAACTTCTTCACTTCTAGCTCTTGGTGAAAACACATTTTTGTTTTGGTTTGGGTTGTCCTGTGATATTAATTCTAAAGTTTGCAAGTACCTTAATGTTTTTCATGTTTGTATGACCTTTCCCTTGAAAACGAAAATCCCTGCCTAATAAGAAAAAGCCTTGCACTTTTCACCTCAATCAAGGATTAATCATCATCAGAGCCAGCCTATTTTTGATTGAAAAAAATGAATTGTTATTTAATAAGTGTTGTATAATATCTCACATCTGAAAAACATTTTCCAACACTGAAAACTGAGTATGTACTTATTGAGCACAACAAAGGCCGGCTTTTCAACCTGAGTATGATAGCTGCACCGTGTAGCACTCATGATCATGATCACTCAAGTTCATGACATTAAGAAAGAATCTTTGAACAATTAAAATACATAATGGAACTAAATCACTGTCACAAAGCTGAGCTTTTCCAGGTTTGGCACCCTATAGTGTTTTCAACACTGAAAAAATAAGGAGGTTTGATTCTTACCCTAAAAAGCTTGTGATTAAAAATGATGTTTATGTAGAAGTGCCTTACTAGGTTCCTACCTGCTCCCCACTAAGACTTTGATCCTCCTTTTTTAAAAAAGAGAGTAGTTATCCTTTAAGAGAACACTTAGCATGCCACATGCAGCTCATGCAATACTACAACTTAAATAATCATGCAATATTAACTATGCAGAAGTAGAGTTGCTATAAAATGTATTCATGTCTTGACGGTGCTGCAACCACAGGGCACAGGACAGAATGTGTTGAAGAGCCTCCAAATGCAAATATTTTATTTTAATAAAAATTAAACCTAGAAATTTTATTCAAGCCTCCTTGAAGTAGTAAAAAAAAAAAAAGTGTCATTACAAGGATGACAATTCTATACTCTGGCTCCCCAAAACCTTGGTAAAGCATAATATCCCTTTTTAGTTTTGCTTTTAGTAATTTTCTAAACCTGTATAAACCAATAAAAATCTTCTAAAAGAAAGATACTGGAGGATGTGAAGGGAGAAGTGCTTGTTTTAAAAACAGTTAAAAAAGCTTATTAGCTTCAATTGAAGTTTATCTTTAAAGCAGCCTTCAAAGAGGAATCTGAATCCCCTTGACTGTACGTTTATAAGCAGTTACTTCTTACCTGGTCTGTGCATGCCTACGGTAGTGCAGTGGCTGATACCAAATCTAATTTGTGATTTTTCCGCTAATGTAACGGGTAACTTGGACACTTTAAATATTGTTGTGTGTTTGGAAGAGAAAAAAATATAGATCTTTCAAGTAAACATTTTCTGGTATGGTGTTTTGAAAGGGAAAAGTGTTTGGATGTGTGACTTTTTCGAATAGTGCAAATGGGTTCTCCTTGCACTTTCATGGTCAGCATGGTGAATTCTGACTTTGCTCAGGGCTTTGTTATTTTTCTTGCATGGATGATTTAAATCTTCCTTGAGTGAGATAGTCCACAAATCCTGGCTTTGGTACCGCTTTGTAGTGATCCACGCCACAGGGGTACTGTCGGTGCAGGTCACGGTGGTGCAGCAGCGTTCACAAGAAGAAACTGGGCTTTGTGATTGCTGTTGTCATGCACTTACTGCTTTGATACTTGTCTTTCTCTCCTCTGGACTTTTCTTTTCAGGTTAGTTACTTAGCACTGCTTTTTCCCTGTGAGTAATGGTAGCGGAGAGGGCATCATGTAATTAATGTTACAATAAAAAAAAAACCAGCGCAAAATACCCAGGCTGGTCACCCAACCATAAACGTGTTTTGCACACAGAAGCAGAAGAGACATACAAGGAGACAAGTACCTGTCTGATCACATTGAGCCCAATTTTAGTGTGTTCAATACAACAGCATTTTCATACAGCATTTTAAAAAACAGTTCTCAACTTTCCATTAAATAATAGGCCCCTCCAGAAAAGGGACAGATTTGTCTTCTGTAGCCTTTTTGTGTGCTGTTTTTTAGACCGTGTGATCTGTTTCAAGATTCTGTCTTCTCTATGGCTCATTGGCAGCCACTGCTGTAAATGTCATGACATGGGCATTCATGTCTCTCTTAAGCTGCAATTCATCCAGTCGGAGAGTAAACAGTAATACTAAATTTAATGGAAGAATAGTCTTTGTAGAGGAAATTAGGATAAAACATCCCTCCTCTCAAATGGCAAACCATGCTTCAAATGTTCTGAACTAAAGTGTGCAGTAGTGTTAGAGGGGCAGTAAAAGAATTATTATTCTATGATCTTAAAATTTGCTCTTTATGTCCTTATGCTGGAAAAACACAGCAGTTAAGAGCTGGAAAACAAATGTGATCAAAGTGATCCCAAACTTAGGGAGCTGGTGATACACATCCTAAATGGTGGTGCTGTTAACAGCATCCCAAACACTTTGGTTCCACATTTTGTAATAAGGAAGCTGAAGGATTTTTACGCGGGAGCCACTGCCTCTTCATTAACAAGGTCACATTCCTGTAGTGAAGGTCCATGATTCCAACTAAATTATTGTATAGAGCATCAGTTGAGGAGGTACTGTAACAGATTATGAAAGGCATATTTCTATGGCAGAGTGAGCACCAATGGGGAGAGGAGACTGTGCAGTCTGATGGAAGGATC